TGCAACGCGCGCCATGGTGTAGGATATAAATTGCCATATTTTTTTTGTATATATATTTATTTTTGCACACTGAGCGTATTCTGTTGGAAAGAAACAAAAATAAATAGTATCGGACAGCCCAATTATGTTTGCCTAAAACTCTACACTTCTAACGTACATTTTTTTGTTTTGGGCCTATTAAAAGTTTCTTATTTTATAGTTAAGCCCAATTTAATTGGTCAATACTATCTTGTTGCCATGTACCATTGTACCCTTATGAAATGAATATGGCAAATTATTGTGTGGACCATAATTCACATGGTTTTGTAGACTATAAATGTAATATACATTTTTAATATATTAAAAATGTATTATTTGTGGCTGAGTGTACATTATTATTTGATAATATATAAAAAATTATGTACGTTCAAATAATGTACTTTATGTATACAAATAATATATTTTTAGTTTTTTTTTTTTAAATATACATTTAATCATTCAGATGGTAAATGAGCTCTATTCGTGGGGAGAATTTTGGGGTAACTCGGATTCGATTTCCACAAGTGACGATTTCCCGAACAAGCTCCCAGCCTCTCAGAGCGAACAAGGATTAGTCGGGTGGACCTGGACTGTTAAACTGACAATGATAGACTCGGATCAACTCGTGATTTACACCCAAAAAAAAAATAGAAATGTGTGGATCATGATCCATGGAATAATGATGGCATAAATAGGGAGTTTAGTTGGTATATGAGAATTGAAATTGGGTTAGAAATTACAGAGTAGATAATTACTAATAGCAATGGGTTTTAGAAAAAAAAAATATATAGCTAATTTTGATAGTAAATAGAAATTAGAATAAAAATAAACAAATATATATATATATATATTAGAACTGTAGATTGAATGTATATAAGATGACCTTTTAATTTTAAATTTTTTTTCTTCCTCATGTTTTTGATTCCATTATTCAAAAGTAGGGGATATGAAGATAAATGTTATCTATAGTTACTAAAGAATTTGAATCAAAGACTAAAGTATCAAAAGTAGACAAACAAATATCATGATTGAAATTAAATCATATAGCAGGGCAAACACTACCTACATAAAGTTTATATAATTATAATATGAAAGTTCAAATGTGTTGTTAATTTAAATTGAGTTAAAATATTTGTTTCTAAATAAATAAATTGTAAAGTCCGAAATAGTGATAATGGCAACTAATTTGTTTTTTATTTAAAAAAATATAATCACAGATTTTTTAATTATAATAATTGACAAACAATTTTTTTTTGAAATTAAATTGGACAGAGGATACTTTAAAAAAAAAATGCAAGCACAATTCAACTACTACATACAATATTCAATACACAAGGAAGCCAAAGCAATCTTCATGTAAAATCTTCGCCACACACGTGGCATATCAATAAGCAATTTCAACTAGGATTAATATTTGATGCACCACCGGTGTATAGATGCTATACACCGGCAGTTAATGAGGAGATGACACATCATTCAAAAATAAAATTAATTTTAATCGGGTCCTTTTTTGTTCTATATTTTAGGAAACTCTTTTATTTCTAATTAACAAAATATATCTACTTTTCAACTATACTTATCCTAGTGCGTTATTTTTAATAAGGTAATCTACAATTCTATTTTGCTCATTATAAATATGAATCAACTTGATCTCTCATTGATCCTCCCTTGAACTACTTATTTAATGTTGTAGAATTTGTGTTTTTAATTTTTTGGATTTAAATTGGATGGGGTGATGAAAAGGTAAGTACTACTCAACTACTACATATGACTATTGACACACAAGACATGCCAAATCAAACTCAATGCAAAAATCTCCTTGAAACCTGCGTGGCATATTGATAAGCAATTTCAACCCCCGCTAATGTTAGAATGCCATCTTGGCGAGGTAATCTGCAACTATATGTTACTTCTTGTAAACATGAATCAACTTGATTTCTTATTGATGTTCCACCACTTTCTTACATCCTTCTATTAGCACATTCAAAATAGCTTCTCGAGACGTTTCTCCTCTCTCAAATAACTTAACTCTTTTAATAAGTAAACTAGTATTTGCACTTGTGCGATGCACGGTCATAAATATAATTAATAGATTATATAGTATTATAATTTAAAAAAATAACACAAAATTTGAATTTTATTATACATTATTGAATATACTTCTTTATATACGACATTTGTAGTTGTATTTTTAGATTGTACATTTTCTTCACAAATAAGTAATTTTAATCCCTTAGAATTACTAAATCTTGACACTGCTATATACATTTGACAATGATTAAATACCGTCCTCTTCAAAAACAAACCCACGTTGGATAGTGTTTGACCCTAGCTTTTATTTATTGTCATGGCATATGACAACATTAGTGGAAATTGTTTTATTTGGAACTTAAAAGGCAATCTTGGATCAGAAGGTGTTTAGGACATCCTTGAAATTAATACATTTGTACAAGCACTTGATCCGCACAGTATTTGAGCTTCTAAAATATGATCAACCAACTTTGAAATGATCATCCTTGTACCATTGCACAACCCCAATGAGTGATCAATATTTCCTAATACAAACTTCCTACATTTATTTTGGCTTGTCATATATTCCATGTTATGGCTACTTAGATGTATACTCAAAGAGTCGTGTTTAACTGCAAATAACATACAATGTTACAAAAAGGTTGTATTAGAAGGACAACATTGGCATGCATCCCGTAGATGAATTAGTTTGATTTTCTTTCCCAATAGCATTATTATTTTTTGCGACCGTTGAATTTTCAACATTTTTTGCAAACCCAAAATAAAATAATATATAAACCAAAAATTTAATTTATTCAGTAATTACATAATTTGATATTTCTTTCGTAAAAAAAGGAAACCCAAAAACTTAAAGCAATCTATTATTATGAAATTTTATGATAGATATGTTGATAAAATAAAAAAGTTTTATAGTATGTCTTAAAAATATTTATTCTTCACATAAATATAACAAATTATAAATTGATATGAGATTTAAACATAATTAGCCCAACAATGATAATATATTAATTGGTTTCAGGATAGGCCCAAATAACCAAAGCAATTTATTAACCCAAACCCGGCCCATGAACAACGAAGTGGTTGTATTTGTAGGTTCCCCTAGCAGATACCCAATCCTTGATCCCCCGGCCATATATATAATATATAGAATATGTATAATATAATAAGAAGATAATTTTTTTTAGGGTAATAAGAAGAGAATATAATATATGAAAATCTAAAAATTTTGCAATGATAAAAATTACAATTTTATTACACATTACTAAAAATTTCTTTGTACATAACATTTTTAGTTGTACTTACAATTGGTACATTTTCGCCACAAATCAAATTGTAATTTTGCATTTTCTCTTTTTAAACAGATTAACTGGATTAATCGACTGACTAAAAGGACTGATTGATTCAGCGATGAATTCAATCAGTAACAGAAAATCATAGTGAAGATTAAAGAAAAGATAACACCACAAAGCCAACAACACAAAATGTTTACCCAGTTCGATACAATGTGTATCTATGTCTGGGGGACGATCACATAGGCGTCCAATCCACTAAATCATAATCCGATGTACAAAGGTAGATATACAATAATCTTACCCAACTGCCCCACACAAGGTACATACCCAGTCTACACAGGTTTAGTGGATTGTTGAAGATGGAGAGTCATGCGTACAGAAGTCTAATGAAATCCCTTCACTTGGAGAGTCCACTCTGATGCAGTCCACTTCAATGACGCTCTTTACAGTTGTTCCCACAACAGTGTGATCACAGTGTCCTTTCATTTAAGCAGCAGTGATTCTTCTCAAGTTCGTCATCTTAATCACCATGAACATGTTGTATTGAGAAGACACCTGATAATCAAAGATCTTATCTCATCAAACTGATGTGAAGTGTTTTTCTTCTTTCTCAAAGTCGTAACCCTAATTCTCTTCGAATGAGGATACTTATAGTTCCGTCAAAAGAACACTCCTTCCATAGATGTCTTTGATTGTAGATGGTAGGACGATATTTGAAGAATGTAATCTTAAGGATTCGGTCCATACCTTTCCAAAGCAGATACGCTGATCTTCTTTCCAAATCTGACTTCTGTAAAATCGCGTACAGCATTTAGGAAAACAGCTTCCTAAAACAGATCTTCAGTGTCAGTCCTTCTGATCTGTTGTTGAATCTGGTTGATCAGTCCTCTGTGGAACAAAACAGACACTGAACTAATCCTATCTTAGTATACCATAATAATATTGCCAATTATAAGTTGGGGTTTTTGAACAATTAAAACACTAACACAAATATGAGTATAGAAAGTTACCCGGTAATATATCGCTTCTATCCTGTTGATATTACGGTCTTTAAATTTCGTAATCTAAAATGCTTGAAATTGTTTGAGCCTTTAGTTTGTGACTTGTTACGGCTACTAAAGGGTATACTAAAAGTACCTTCATTAACTGTAAATAATAAATGATATTAATTGAAATTATAAGTGAATCATTACATAATTTATATAATTTAGATAATTATATAATAGACAAAAACAAAAACAAAATACAAAAAAAAAAAAAAAAAACAAACAAACAAAATACCTTCATTAGTGTATTATTTTTGTAGAATAAGCTCTAACCGAGTATCTTCTAGAAATGTTAGAACTATCATATTGTGAGAGTTCAGTTGCAATATTTGTTAATGATGAATTGTCTCCATTATCTGCAATCATAAATTCACCAAAATACTTTGATCTTGGTGGTTTGATTTTTTATTTATTTATTTTTTTAAAGTAGACTTTTTATTTAACAAAATGGTTTAAATGATTCCGTTCCTTAAATCATTATTTTACTATGCATTTTGAATCACATATTTTTTTTCTTATTTTTTAACTTTGGTAGTATGTACTTAGTATTTTGCTTTCTCCTATGGAGCATAATTATGCTTTTGAATGAACTATGGCTGGAAACAACCATCACAGGAATTCTTACACACCCCACCAGCAAGTTTTCATTTTTATGCTTTAAATTAGGTAAGTTACTACTAATTAAATTAGAGTTAATTTACTTCTTTTACTATAATTTTGAATCACAAAGTTTTTTTTCTGACTGTTTAAATTGCAATTCTGATAATTTAATTTAGTGTTAACTTTTGTTTTTTTGTGTTTTAAGTAGTGTTGTATGGTGGTTAATCAATAAGATTGACATACCACCGAAATGGCATGTAAGTTTAATTCATACTTAGAGTAGTTTGATATAATTAGTTTTATCAGTTGATTAACCATAAGCTTGGGATATCTACAATCTGGTACAATCTACATGCTCCCCACTTAATTTTTACTTACAAAGTTAAGTTACACATCAACTAAAAGCTCCATAGTTCTTGTACTGTAAACTTTGGACTTAGAATTCAGTTTGTCGAGTCTAAGGTACATCTCATGTTATTAACTGTCCTGTTCTTGTTGAACCAAGACTGTTCTTTTATTTGGTAGATCTTGATTTGTTCATTGTTTTGGTCTAATTTGATGCACAGCTTGTCCTTTTTTTTTTTTTTTTTTTTTTTTTTTTTTTTTTTTTTTTTTTTTTTTTTTTCTTTAGGTCTCTTCAACTGCACTCACATAGCTTGATTCCTGCAAAAAATAAAAAATAAAAAATCAAGATACTACGAAAGGGCTATCACCAAACCAATATATAATTTACTATAATACATATTTGATATTTTATAGTAGATTAGAAATGGAACCCAACTTTTATGGAGTCTAATGCACGGGGTAAATACAATTTTAATAAAAATAAATTGTTGTTGTAAAAAAAAAAAAGAAATATTATTGAAAGAAAGTTTTTTTTTTTGAATGCTTATTGAAAGAAAGTTTAAATTACAAATTATTAAAAACTTATTTGTAAACTATAGTAGTAGTAGAAGTATAATTATTTTATGATTCACAACAAAGTAATATTTTTTAGGTTGTTTGGATTACTTGTTCTTGATGCAGTCACATATAACTGACCATGAACAAATACTGATTTCTTTTAATAGCAATCTAACCTTCAACAATGTTTATCTTGAAACGAAAAAATGTGTGATCTTTAATTCTTTACTTAAGCATGAGCATGAATATATATATATATATATATATATATATATATATATATATATATATATATATATATTTCATCCACTCATCCAGTAGGCAGTAGCGCCAAGTCGGACGTGGCAGCGCTCCTAAAATGCATTTGAATGGAGGACAAAAACGGAAATAAAGGGAAAAAACGGATGGCAACATAGTCAATTAATGTCCGTAAAAACGAGTAGCGTGGTGGAGATGAGGCCCATCGGGAGGGTTGACCTATAAATACCCAAAAACCAAAGTGAAACCACTCCACTTTTTCGTTTTCGAACTCCAAAAAAAAAAAAAAAAAAAAATTAAATCTACGCGAGCGAACAAGGACGAACCAAATACGACGATACACAGCACTAATAAACCCTAGCTTTTATGCTTTTTATTTATTTTCAAAAAACAAAATTTCCCTTCAAAATGAATGTCTTTAATCAGTGTAGGCTTAGTTGTTAAAATATATTATGTTGAAGGGGGCGACGGAGACGAGGAAGAAGACGTCGTGGAGTACATGGGAGGAGCTTCTGTTGGCGTTCGCCGTGAAGCGGCACGGCCTCAAGGACTGGGACTCCGTCGCCATGGAGCTCCAGAACCGGTGCTCCATACCCGCCGTCATCACCGCTCAAATATGTAAGGACAAATACCACGACCTCCACCGCCGCTTCATGAATAACGACGCGGCGGCGGATGGTGATGCGGAGGCCGGCCGTGTTGGCGGCGGCGTCGGCGACGCTATCGCTATTCCTTGGCTCGAGGAGTTGCGACAACTCCGCGTCGCCGAGCTCAAACAGGAGGTCCACCGCTACGATCTTTCGATCCAGTAAATCAGTCTCTCTCTCTGCCTTTGATTTTTTTGTTCCGAGGTTTTTTACGTCGGAAATTTTGGTTTTGTTTTGTTGCGGATCTGAGAGGGGGAGAGTTTGATCGATGATTTCAACAGGTCGTTGCAGTTGAAAGTGAAGCGGCTGGAGGAGAGAGAACAGAGCAGCAAAGACGTGTCCGTGGAACCGCCAGATCTGGAGGACGACGGGAAGGAGCAGCGATCGGAAAATGACGAGAATAACGGCGGACGGGAGACGACGTCGGGGAAGGACGTCTCCTTCTCCTGCAAGGACTCAGACCGCGAGAACCGGTCTTTCAACGAGTCGAATTCCACGGAGAATAGGCGAACCGGTGAGAAGCTCGAACCGGATTCGGTCCCGATTAAACCGGATCCAGAAGCCAAACCGGTTTGGGAGGAGGACTCGTGTAACGATAGTTCCGATAGGCACAAGGCATCCAAACTGAAAACAGACTCCGAGTTGCGTGACTCGGTTAGCGAGTCCAAGGAGGGGACAAAGGATAGCAGCGACGTTCAAAGCTCTGCCAGTCTGACGGAGAGGAGGCGTAAGCGAACTAATTCCGTCGGGGGAAGAGTGACGACGGCGGCGGCGTCTCCGTCTCCGCCGGCCATCTCCACAAAACGAGGCGGCGCAGTGAAACCAGAGGCGTTGGTTGGGCTTTTAGATATTATCCGATCGCACAAACACGGCCAGGTGTTCCAACGGCGGCTCGATAGTCAGGTAACTATCCCATGCTTCCTTGTTCAAATACTCACTTATTTTTAATTTAATTTTTTATAATATTAAATTTTGTATTAATATACAAAATTTATATATTTAAACACAAAAAATTATTAATTATTAAAAATAATAAAAGAATAAAAAAAATTTATTTTGACCAATAATAAGTATAATAAATGAATAATAATAGTATAATAGATAAAAATAAGATAAAATGAAAAAAAGGAACAGTAAAAATGCAACTATTTTAACTCTTCCGTTAACGGGAACGTCATGATTGATTTAGTCTCTTAAAATCCCAAATCCCGATCAATGATCATATTGATTTTATTTTAACTCCGCCGTTAACGTTATGTTCGGGACATTTATTCAACATGTACATTAAATGAACTTATCCAAGAAAAAAAATAATTAAGAAAAGGGTGCCATTTATTTATTTATTATTAAAAAAACTTAATAAAACATAACGCTTGTCGTATGACGTGTATGTGGTTACTGCCGTATCATGGTCCACAAGGTCATAATGTCTTTTCCCCAAATAACCTTTTTTTTAGTTACTCTAAGTTAACAAAAAATGTAAAAAATAAATTTTAGTTTACTTGTTTCTTGCATATTTGTTGAAAATATTAAAATGTGTTATATGTTTTTGCTGGTCTTGTAGGAATATAGGATTTTAAGACTAATTTTTTGTTTATTTTTCATTGCATTTAATTTTTAAGTAATCGTGAAAATTGTTAGAATATTACGTTTTCTAAACGGAACCAAATATTTGAAAATTGAGTAACGCTTGTGTGAGACTATCTCGTCTCAATCGGTGAGATTGGTTGGATCTTTGACCTCATTAATTAAAGATCTGACTTGTCTCACGGATTTAGACGTGTGAAACAATCACACAAATTTTTTGCCTTGAAAGTTATTCAGTTATGGGGTGTGCACCAATGATTTGAGGTAAATTATAGAAGGTTGGTTAGGGAAGGAAAATGTCATAAACCAAATGCTTTGTTCCATTGTTTGCGTGATGTGGTCCCACTGAACCGAATGCTTTGACCCATCGTAATTTTTTGGATCCCATATATTTTTGTGGGCCGGCCCATATCTAATGGGCCTCACGAATCTCGAAGCTTTTATTTACGGAGTATATTTTATTGTATTGATTAATTTCTTTTCTTTTAAACTTAATTAAATGCTCCATTTTCATCATTTCTGGCGATGGAAAAAGGGAACGGGAATTATTTATTATTCTTTCAGGTTTTATTCCAGATTAGATATAAGCTCAACCAACCAGCTTCACGTATAATTTATGTCTTACCTACCTTTACCTAAACTGAATTCTAGTTGTACATATTGTTTATGTAGATAAGGTTTCCTTTCATAGACTGTTTGTTTATTTAACCAAAAACTATGGTCTTTAACGCAACGCAGAAAACAGAGGATTACAAGAAAGCGATTCGGCGACACGTGGATCTTGAAACGGTTCAAGCCCGGATTGACGACGGGTCTTATTCTTCCTGCTCCACCAGATTCTACTTGGATCTCTTACTGCTATTCAACAATGCCATTGTCTTCTTCCCCAAGTCATCTCCGGAGTCAACAGCGGCGTTTCAACTCCGTGACATTGCCGTGAAAGAGTTGAAGAAGAAGAAGGAGAAGGAGAAGAATCAAACCCCGTCACCTGAACCGGTTCAGCAGCCTAAACTCGAACTGGAAAGGTCCGATTCTTTGCTGGCGAAGCACAAGTCTACTGCCCCTATAGTTGTGTGCCGGAAGAGAAGTTCGATATCAGGAGGGAAAACTGCCACTTCTGGTAACAAGCAAGGAAAAGTGTCGGATGAAAAGGCTAAGCCGAAGCCTCCTCTCAGTCAGAAACTGTCTTCTTCAAGCAATCTGGACGAGGACGAAGATGATAGTTCGACGAAGCTGAAGATGAAAGAAAAGCCTGTGACGGGCGTAAGGAGCACGAGGAGGAGCAGCAAAGGAAACCCCCCGAAGGAAGAAGTTGCGAAAACAGATAAGGAAGAAGTGATTACCACCACCACAGACAAGAAGCGTGGTGCCGCTGATTTCTTGAAACGGATGAAGAAGGATTCACAAGGCACCGTGGCGGCGGCGGTCTCAGTGAAGAACTCTTCCGACGACGCTAAGCCTAGCAGTAGAAGAAGAGAGCAACAAAAGAGAAAGCAGCAGCAGGCAACCGAGGAGAGGAAAGACGGACCGGTGAGGCGGAGTAGTGGCGGCGCCGGTGGGAGGAAAGAGGCGGCAGCGGCAGAGGAGAGTAGCCTGTCAAAGAGGAACGTGGGGAGGCCACCTAAGAGAGGAAGGGACGCTGCCGCCGCCACGCCGGAGAAGCGTGGGAAAGAAACTAGTGTTGACAAAGAAGAATCCTCAAAACGACCAAAGAAACGCACCAGGAGGTAAAATCAATGGGAAATGGCGTAGGAATTTAATTTTAGCTTAGTGTAAATAAATTATTATTTTAAGTGGAACTGTACATTACGGGTGGGTGGGTCAGGTGCTTCTTTTGCTTTTGGAAATTGGAATGACCAGATCGGATTGATTCTAGGGTTAGTCATTGTAGGATTTTCTCCAGTTTCTACCAGCTAAAATTTGTTTAAATTCTCATACCCAAAAAATATAGGAATAATAAAATAGTCAATACATATTAAAAAAAAAAAAATTCTTTACATGATTAGTAACAAACGTATTAATATCCTATCTATGGCAATAATTTTACAAAAATAAAGGAAAATAATCACCACAGCTATAGTTTAACCTACGTTTGAAGGCTAGCTAAACACATTACAGGGATCATAGTCAGCAAAGATTAGTTCTGCCATTTTTTTTTTTTTTTTTGGGTTTTTGGTGGGGTTTAATACACTGGAAAACCATCATCACACTATAATTTGAAACAGCTTCTTCTTCAGCTACAACTACTCTACCTATTTATTACCATTGTAATGTTATTCCGCCTCCATTGGTTGCCCATGCATGAAATGCCGGCGGCGTTCATCTGTAGGAAACAACACCAAAAACCACAATTCAATAAACACAACATACAACTTTTTTTTTTTGTTTTTTTTGTTTTTTTTTTTCTTGATACAATACAATTAATATATAAAATACTCAATAATTAACAATCACGAGAACTTTAATATAATTAACATTACATATTCATGAAAACTTTTATATATTATAACAATTCTGTAAATTTTGGCTCTTTTTCCATTTCCAAGTCCTTCACTCCAATTATACAGGTAAGTTAGAATTATTTTGCAATTAGAATACAACCCAAAGAGAAAAGGGGGGGAAGGGGGGGAGGGGGAAAAGCAAAAAAAAAAATCCATGATGTCTTTCTTCAAGTCACAGGTTCGAGTCTCATCCCAATCAAGGATGTTGGGATAATCACGTTAAAAAAAAAAAACAATAATATATTAACTATCATCTGCCTATCCACTCAACTATCTCCACCTTGCACTCTTTTATATTCATTCATACAGAAGTCAAAAAGAATATATCCCTGGTTGGTGGTTAGATATATATAATATGGAGATAAAGTATGGGGCAAGAAAACATGACATCAGACATCCAACACCATCCTAATTTAGTGATGTACCCCATCGGGATTTTGTTTTATTTTCATCCTAATATTATGTCCAGGGCTAGATACAAGTCACAACAATATAATTGTACATGCATGTTCAAGATCTAAAGCCATCATAATCTGTGGATACAACACCAAATTATGATGGCTTTAGGATCTTTGAGCATCCATCCCAAGCACCACATACTTTAGAGATCTCGAACAAAATCATTCATATAAACAGTGGAGTTTATAGACACTGTAGAAGAAATAATATGATAAAATGACAAAAACAAAGCAGTGATAATTTGAGTTAGTAGTCATATACCACTTTCACCATCAGAAATCTCACCAAGCCTTGAAATGGCGTCCACGAGTGATTGCTCATGCTCCTGCATCATTAAAATGCCATTAGTATCAGTATACAATCAAGGGAGAAAGCAGTAACATAACCGGCCAGCATGCAGGCAGGCAAACTTCTAACCTTTAGCAGTTTTTTGGCCTTCTCAATTTCCGCAGGATCAGGATGACTGCCACCATATATCCTCTCAACCTAACCAGCATTACCGGTCAATTGAAAAGCGGAGCGATACATACATGTACAGAAATAGTATATATCAAAATGCTGCACCCCGAGCTGGTCAGCTATGGGTAACCTAGGTTGGTTTACTTTCTTTTGGTCCTTTGCCGGCTAGGGTCACAAGGCAAGGTTTACCTACACCCAAAAGGGTTGTTGGGTTTTTCCTTGTCATCCAAAAAAAATAAAAATTGCTGCACCCCTTACCTCCTTAATTAATGTATCAGTGTGCAGTAATTGAATATCATCCGATCCTTTGTTTCCTATGCCATTCTGTGATGGTAGAAATTCCTTTCTGGACTGAGCTTTTTTAGTCAATCCCCTTCCTCTGCCCACACATGGAGCACTATCACGACCAATAGTTCTATTAACACCATGGCCTCCCGGTCCATCACCATGGCCTCCCGATCTATCACCATGGCATCCTGGTCCACCGTCCCATTGTATATCTTCAGGAGAAATCTAGAGGTGAATTCAAAAAGAAAGGTAAAAATCCAACAATCTTTTCGAAGAAACTACAGCACTAAACGGAAATGTAACAGGAATCACATCCAAGAAATTGCTGAAAAGTAAAACTATTTAACACGCACATTTTGAATTTGATAGCATTATATGACACCCTAACAGTTTATCCCCAGACGTAGATAACATATTCTAAATTGCCTGACACTAGGTATTATATCTTTGCTCACCTTAACAAAATAGATTATACATAATAGAAATTCATGAGGAATAATCATAAACTGCACAAAAGAAGCATAATGGAAAGCATAATGAAAAATTAATACCTATAACAATTATTTCATTGGAAAGATTCAAATTTGGAATTTTTAAATACCCTATGTTCTTTTTCCTCTATTGCGTTATACTTTAAGAAAATTCAACTTTGAATTGTTTCCAAACATCAGCAATCGGCACAACTACTCTCCTCCCAATAAGAGAAACTTTGGCATGCATGGCAGAATTACAGACCAGCCTAAATGTGATAGAAACTGCCAGTAGAAACATCTGGTAAATATTAAAAGCAATAAAATATGTTAACTAATTATATTGTGATGTCATCAAATAAAAAAACTACCTCTGAAAGGTTTACCCATTCCCAGGTCTCATTTGCAGTGCCAATGTCATAAACAAGAGCATGGTGTCCCTAAAATGTTACACGAATAAAATTTCAGAATTTAACTCCTATAAAAGCAACTCTTTTAGCAACAAAAGAAATTTAAGTAATTTTCCAAATCCAAGCAACAAAAAGTGAGGCATACATCAGCTGGATTATAATTGGTTATGACAGCCTCATAGAAATTATTGTCATCAGGCCATCTGGTCCTTACTTTCCTCCCAATTAATGGATCAAACGGTGCTCCTTCAGTAGGTTCAGAAATCCTATTACCAAACCGGCCTCTTCCAGAAGGACCAGAGGAAGGATATTGCACCTTTGTTGCAACAGGCAACATTGGGCCCTGTGGAAAAAGAAGGGTTAAATAGCAACAAGATGAATAGAGCATGTAAAATTCGGACGTCCAAATAACTTACAGATTTCTGTTTTTTACTCTTAGGCCCCACCATAGGCCCTCGCTTTGCAACTGATGAAGATGGTTGGTTAGCTGTGGTTACCTCTGCTGGACGAAAACTAGGTGATGGTCCACCAAAGGATTGAGAAGGTAATGACGGGGCTATCTTTTGTTTCTTCCGAGAAGCAGAGACAGAAGGACTGGGAACGGGATCATGAATAGCTTGACCAGTACCATGCATGCCTGGTTGAGGGCCTGTACTAAGTATTCCTGGTCGATGCCCACCGGATTGTCTCCACTCCCTAACAAATAAAAAAAAATTAAAAAAAATATATATATATCATCACCGAGCCCTAGCCTACAAAAATGCAAGCAACACAATATAGCTAAGTGCTAACCTTATTCTTCGGATGACATCATCAGAATTTACTCTGCTAAGAAGTTCTCTATGTTCTTCATTTGACAACCGCAACTCTTTTCTAAGTTCAGTGATCAAACTTTCCTTCTCCTGAAGAAAATACATTTTATTGAGCAATCATTTAAACCCCTGATCAAACAAATATACAAATATTAGATTCACATTTTAAAAATGATTAAAGGTACCCAAGTAATCGCATCAGCTTGAGCTTTAAAGGCTCTTAGAACTGAACTGTATGCTTCTTGCTCAAGCTGGTGAATTTGAGCCTCCATATCAGTTTCCCCATGCACCCTTGGATAAGGGACAGAGCCTATGGCAGCAGATCTACCATTATTAGCAATCCGGCCACCTCTAGGAATCCTATTTTGATGAGATGGAGGAAGATCATCATCTGTCCCTGCAACAATAAAAGTCTGAATTTATTGAGTATGAATACAAAATATCATCCAAATGCACATAGAAACACTGAATCCAGCTTATGTCTAAGCTAAATGTACAAAACAATAATTACCGGCATCAACAAGATGGATCTAACCTATATATAATGTAAACCAATTCCCTGAACCTAAAACCAACTAATGTAACATGAAGTAAACCACACTTAAGGTAAAAACCTATATAAAATAAACATCAAACCCCCAGAATGGACCGACAGATCATTCAACCAACAAGGAAATAAACAGTTCAATCCCAATATAAATTAAGCTACAGCTTATAATCATAACGAGATTAAAAAAAAAAAGATTAGCAGAGAGGATAAATGGGCCAAAACATAAGCAATCGAGTGGTTGCAGAAGAAAATGGGAATACAAGAAATCATGGAAAGAAGAACTTAGCCTTTCCATAGTTGTGCAAAGTTGACAAGTCTTGAAACCTAGATTTATGAATATTAATTTTCTACTGGAACAAAAAGAAACTACTGACTAAAGGCATCTTGCCCACTGGCCCATCCCGCATACATAAAAATTTATTTTTATAATAGAGGAAACAAAACTCTCATGGCCAAAAAGAATCATGTCATAAATATACACTAAATGGAACTTCCATATAATCATTCCCAGATGAGCATTGGAAATATGAAAACATAATTCATAGCTGACTATTCTTGACTATCAAAGTCAAGAACAGCTCCATAGGACATTTGCAATGGACAAATTAGGACATTGCCCATTGTTGTTTCATCCGATAGTTGTTATTTCAACTTACATATAATACATGCAAAACTGCAATTCTTAGGTATATGATATGTGAGTTAGAAACATAAACATTTTCTCTTTCTCTAGGTTTTAAAAAATAAAATAAACATTTTTTTTCTGATAAACAAAATCAAACCCCATTCAAACAATCAACAGTCTTAAGGTCAACCATAATTAATGCCAGAATGAACTCAGTAGCATAAAAATGACAACTTTTACTCACACCAGTGACTTCACAATAATTCCAAAATATCATTAGCAGATCAAACTTCAAGAACCTCTCTGCATTTGGATAATGGGTACACCACCCACTAAGAAGAATACTAATTGATACGGAGTATAATGAAATCACTACACATTCTCTGCATATAATGTCAGCTGAAATCACTCTTGCAACAATGGCCACTCTCTCAACACAGTTAGAATAAAGCTTTGGTCCTTTTCGACAAAAAGTTGAAGAATTGAACTAAAATTAATAATGGAAATGATAATTAGCAAACCCTAGTGCTCAGTAACACACCAGAAGCTCAAATCTTTGGCAGTAAAAATGAATGAACACTCACCGCTGCTATCGTAGGGCTCGTATTCCATATAGAGCTTGTGCTGAAGTCGAAGAAATGGCGAACACTGGAGCTAACTAGGGCTGGCAGAGAGACTTGAAGAAATGCAGCAAAAAGAAACAAAAAACCAACACGGGAGCGTGAATTGAGAGTGGGAATTGATTGATTAAAAGGATTGTGCGAATCAATTGTGTGATTCAGCCAGAAATGGAGAAGAGAGACGAGGGAAGTATGAATCTGGAAAAACGGACGTGAAAATAATTCTACGAGTTTTGGTTAATCCAGTGGTTTGAAATCCGCCTTGCTTGGCAGTTCGAATCCGAGTGTGCCGAGTTGACTAGGTTTTGGATTTCAGATACCTGAGTGTAGAGAGCGATTTGGTATTAGTGTTTTTTTTTATTAAAAATAAATAAATATAAAAAATGATTGATTTTAAATAAGAATCTTAATTTTTTTTTCTCGGTATTAAGCATGTTTTTTTTTTTTTTTTGGAAAGCATGTGTTTCTTATTTCACAAATTATTTTTTAAATCATATAATTAGAGTCTCCCTTGCGTCAATGAAGGATCCAGATCAGAGTCCATGATGGCACATGGATTACGGGTGGTCAACCACAACAATAAAGAAAGGAATTATATGGCAACTAGGCATTTATTGAAGAACAATCAAAGTTAACCTAAATTAGCTCATACCTCCTAAATTATCCTTCTCCTCCATAAAATCCCTTTCCAAATCTTATTAATTACCCTACCTCACCATAAATATCAAATTACAATATAACTCCCGATTACCATACACTCTATTTATTTCTCTAAAAGCCTTAGTCAGTAATAAGGAAAGGCATCAAGATCCTCTCATCCCACATTTCTCTAGAGAACACCCAATTGTACATGTACCGACTCTATACAAAATATAGTGGATTTCATCTTGACCCGTTTGATAAGCATGCTAGTCTGATGTTAAAATGCTAGTATGTGTTGTTTGTTCCTTCTTATTGAGATTGGCAACTTGTGTTGACAATCATTTGGTGTTGGATTGTAATCATTTGTTGTTGACTATGATCTCATGTCTTTATTGTGATCTCTTGATTGATTCCTATGATGTGATCGTATGCAAATCGTTGTACCCTTTGTTGATACTTGATTGAGGCTATTGTTAAGCCTTAGTCCTCTTGGTAATGATGATGACCTTGTGTGACTATATATGATTGAGATTGGTGGTTGTTATTTGAGCTTTGCTCACTTGTTGGAGGTTGTGTGAATGAAATTAATGGTACCCTCGTGTACTGAGAGTTCGGTGGTAATGTGGGTGGATGTAGGTGGGGGGACGACGGTCCCTAGAGGCATAAGGTTGGACTCAGAAGTACAGGGTGGCACTAGGAGGTAATGGTTGAAACTGAAATAAGGCCGGGGGTAGCCATAAGGTTGGAACTATGAAACTTGTGACATGTAGTTGTCACTGTGGCATGTAGTTGCCACTGTGTGAATGTGAATTCCTTGCTTATGAGAATGTCTTGATGTATTCTACTTTGTGATCAGTAGGATGCATCCTGAGTTGTGTTGTCGTTCATGTTTGTGGTCTTGTTGTTATTGTGAGGATGATGATCCTCGTTTCTATTGAGAGTAATTGATGAGTCTTTGATGTTGACGTCTCTCTTTGGTTTTAAAACGATATATATTGTATTCCCGTTCCAAATGGTTTTGATTATATCTATCTATATATGTTATTTAACGCGTATTGATGGGTTACCAGCAATATTTGCTGACCGGGTGTTATCCCCATGTTTTACAGGTTTTTAGTAGATGCCGAGCGCGCTAGATGTGGACGCTAGATAGAGTAGCTCCCATGTTTAGACGTTACCTTTTGTTGGCCTGTGTGCCTAGATTAGCGACCTGTGAGCCTAGACTAGTGGCTTGTGTGCTTAGACGTTTTCTGTTTATTGACTTGATAGTTTTCCGCCTGTGCACCTATGTTTGAGATAGGTGTGGCATAACATCTCTCTGGTTTTAATTAAGTTTCCGATGTTGTTTATCTTGATGATTAGATGCTTACCTTTGAAATTAAGTTTTAAAAATGTTGAAAAATTGGGGGTGTTACAGTTGGTATCAGAACCTAGGTTTGGGCCTAGGATGTTAGGATTTGGACTTTAAGAAGTTAAGTGTGGTTTGAGACCATAAGATGACCTTTAAGTACCTAAGTGTTTAGGACTTAAGACTTTTAGGACGCGTGGCGAGCTGTGAGTTGTTTGTTGTTTGTTGTGTTTGTTTCGTTGTTTCTGTTTAGTTTTAGCGTTCTCGTCGTTAGCGCCGGGTAAGGGTGCACTGTTTGTTTGTGCCTACCGTAACCGTGTTGTTTCTGTAGAAGTCTCGCCATGGCTCTACCTCGTCATCGTGCCCGTACCCCTGAGACGCCGACCAACGAGTAGCTGGCTCAGAACTTGCAGCATCTGACCCAAATGATGCAGAAGCTGAGTGATGCCCTTTTGCACAATAACAACCCTTCTCCTCCACCGCCGCCTGTCGGGAATCGAGACGTGGAACGCTTAGTTTCGGGGCATAGGCCGCCAGTTTTCGCCGGAGAGGAAGATCCGGTGTTGCTTGAGGAGTGGATTCGGTCCCTCGACAAAATCTTCGCCGTTGTGGATTGCCCAGAAGATCGCCGTGTGGAGTTGGCTTCTTTCTACTTCAGCCACGAGGCCAACCTCTGGTGGGTGCACGAAGGCCCCGCGTGCCAAGAAGAACCTGGATTCGACTGGTCAGCCCTGAAGGACAAGTTGAGGGAGAGGTTTTACCCATCTCACGTTAGAGCGGCCATGTACGAGGAGTTCTTACATCTTCAGCAGAGGTCGTCATCCGTGGCGGAATACCTCAAGCGCTTCCTTGAGCTCGCCCGTTTTGCTCGGATGTTGGTTCCCACCGAGTTGGCAAAGGTGGAGAAGTTTGTGGCGGGGCTCAACTACGAAGCCCGGAAGGCGTTGATTGTGAGCTAGCCTAGGACGCTGAATGATGCCTATCTGAGTGCAGCAGATCTGTATCGAGTGCAACAGCTTCAGCGGGGGTCTTTTGAGTTTTCCAAGAAGAGAAGTGAAGGAAGTGGGTCCCACAGTTTCAAGAAGCCGAGACAAGATTTCAGAACCAGACCCGCGCCTCCTCAGTCTCAAGGATCAACTCGGGTCGAGAATGGAGCACAAGTGAAGACTTTTGGATGCAAGAGATGTGGGAAGGATCACGTTGGGAAGGATTGCCATGGGCACGCGCTTCGATACTTCAAGTGTGGGGAAAGTGGCCACAAAGCCTTTGAGTGCCGTCTTCAATCCAACCAGAGAGCCTTGCCACCAGGCACGAGTTCCAGTGGACCTTCGGGAGGAGTTCCGGTCGTGGTGTGGCAGGGACAAGGCCTCCGAGCAGAGTGTTCGTGATGAGCCGGTCGCAGGCTGAGGCCGAGGGTTTGGTGGAGGAGGAGTCCGCAGGTAACCCTCTAGAGCCTACCTTTTACCTTGTGAACGTACCTTTTCGTGTTATCCTTGCACCTTTTTGTGTGTTTTCCCTTGTTATCTTTTGAGTGAATTCCTCCTTTATGATTTGTTTGTTCCTTTTGAGTGGTTAACCTTAGTTTTAATCCCGAAACTTTATGAGTATACATTAAAATTAGGATCTCACCTCCTTGTCACCTAAGCCTAAACCGTTACCTTAAAACTTAGAATAGTCCCTTATTAGGAAACCTCTTAAGTTAAGCCTAAAAAGCTAAAGGGAGTTTAATTCGTAACTAGTGAGTTTTAAACCTGGGTCTTTGAGTTTTTAACCCAACCCTTAAACCATCTAAATTAATTGTACTTCTTGAACCTTATCACACACAAACCCCTTTTAACCTATAATTTCCAATCTATCCACAAATCCCTAAATTAAAATCTTCTTTCCCCAAATTTCCCCAAAACCCTTCCCTCTTTCTTCCCCTCTACCCGTGAGACCAGCCGAGAAACCCCCACCCCCGTCGTCGCCGACCAGCCGTCGCCAGCCGTCACTCGACGTCGCTAGCTGCCGCCGGAGCTCGCCGCCGTCGCTGCCACCTGCCAGAACGCGAAGAAGCCGCGAAGAAGGAAAAGAAGAAGAAAACAAGGAGGAAAAAGGAGAAGTTTGGGTCTACATTGGTTTTGGGTCATCTCAAATCATGCCTAGGAGGTCTAAATCTGCGAGAAGAGTGGAATGGGTGGATGCCCATTACCTAGTCTTGGAATGTAAAGCTTTTGATCCCGACTCTTTTTCGAGTTCTTTGTTAGAATTGTTGAATTACCAAGATTGGTTGGATGGGTATCTCGCAATTAGGACCGAAACTTACCCGAGTTTAGTAAAGGAATTCTACTGTCACATGAGTGTGACCAAAGATGGTGGGAAATTGGAAATTACCTCAAAGGTAGGAGGTGTGAAAATTGTCTTGACCAAAAAGCGGTTGGCTCAGCTTTTGAGTTTGACAGTTACGGGAGTCCCGTAGTACAATGGTGACTCTTGGATTGAGACAAGCAGCATGAGTTATCGGAATTACCTGAGTTATCTGTTGGGAAGAACTAGTGGGTTCACCCAGGCCACGAGGCCGGAGGGGAAGTGGCTTTCTGCCGAGCAAAAGATTTTGGTTATGCTCGTTTCTGATTGTCTGTTGCCTAACAATAATAAGAGTCTTTTGTTGGGTAAGCTGGAGTACACTTTTGCTTTCTGCCTAAAATACAAGGTGAAGTTCAACTTGCCTTCGTTGATGTTGCAACATATGGTCTATTGTAGAGATCATAACCGAAAGAGTTTGCCTTATGGTATGGTTTTAAGTTGGATCTTTGTTAGGAAGGGGGTGGGTGTTGAAGGCTATGTGCCCAAGCCCGTGGGCAAGATGGTTCTAGATGCCACAAATCTCCGCAGTTGCAATCTGTTTCAGTTGGATGATGATGACTACATCACTCTTGAAGAGGTCGCAAGGAAAGCCCCTGTCGAGAGGAGTTCGTTAGTTGAAGAGCTTGAGATTCCAGTTGGAAAGTTGAACCTAGCTAGCAGTGCAGAGCTTGGGTGGAGATGTTGAGAACGAAGTCGAAGAAGAGAGAGAAGAGGAAGAAGAAGGAGGAGAAGCAGAGGAGGTCGAAGAGAGTGACTCCAAAAGCGAAGAGAACGTAAGGAGGAAGGAAGTGAGGACCAAGAGAGAGCATGATGCAATGACACACGAGGAACATGTGGTGACCCTCCTTCGACAGCAGAATCGGATGATTGAGGAAGGCTTCTCTTTCATGAAGGCTCAGTTTGTTACCGTCAATCAGAGGTTAGATAGGTTGGAGGCTGGTTCTAGCTGTGGTGGAGCAGAGGAGGAGTCGGACGAGGATACCGAGGATTCGGAGGATGATTCCTCCTAGGCCGGAGTTTGGGGTAAACTCGTTTCTTCTCTCGTTTGTTGGTTGCCGTTGGTAGTGGTTGTTTGTTGGCTGTGTTTAGTTGTTCTCTCTTGTTTGCCTTGGTTGTTAGCTAGTTGTTTGAGTAGTTGGTTTAGTTGCTTTGCTTTGTTAGGACGAAGCTTCTTGTTAGGGGGAGAAGATGTGACACCCCGTAAATCCAAACACTAATCGAGGATTAATTGAAGAATTAATCCAAGTCTCTTTGCTAATCTATTTCTAAAAATTCTGAAATTTAATAGTCGAGGGACTAGATTTGACTAGTCACTTAAGTCAAAGGGTTGTACCTTGTGCTTCTTGAGTTGTGCCCTTTTTCCCTTGTCTTTCCAACATTAGTAAGGGTAGGAATGTCTTTCTACATAAGGATTGTGATTCAAGCTAACCTAGCAAGACTCTCTCATTTCATTCACTCTTCAACCAAAAACCCAAAAACCCAAAAACTCTAGACTCTCTCTAAAATGATTTAGCTTTATTCTCCAAGCTAGAAATTGAGCATCCAAGTCTTGCAAGATTTTCTCCCAAGATTCCTACTTTCTTCATCTTGAGCATATGAAAGGGTACGAACCTTAGCTCTTTGGTGTTTTTAACCTTCTTTTAGGTGTTTTTTTTTTCTAAAGTTAGGATCTTTGTTGTGTTTTGTTGTGTGTAAGAAGTTGGTATGGAAGAAGAGCTCTAGGAAAGGCTATTAAGGGTGAAAAGAGGAAGTTGTTAGGCTACAAAGGTAACCCATGCTTTACAAAACCTATTTTCTTACTTATATGATGATTCTTGGCTTCTACTTATTTTTCTTGTGTTGATTTGTGAGATTTGATGCATTATCTTGTGGTGATGCATGTTTAGAGCTTGTTCTTAGGGTTCTTGAATGTCATTGCTGGGCTATTTCTTGGGTTCAAGTCATATTGTTGTTGTGTGTGAGATTTTGGGTGTTTTGGACTTGGACTTGGCCTTGTTGTTGAAAATCCCCGAAGGGATATTATATTTTTTGTGTACAGGTGTATACCCGCGGGCGGAACGGCGGGCAGGGCCCTACCAGTTGCCCCACCCGCGGGGAACCGGTGGTTCGTGGGTGTGTACCCGCGGGCGGAACCGCGAGTGGAGGTCCACCCGTGGCCCCACCCGCGGGGAACGTTGTTGGTTGATGTCGGGGATTTGTTCCCCGTGATTCTTTCTTCCTGGTATTGATGTTTTGACCTCCTGTTGTTGATTTATTGGCTATTTGTGAGTCTTCTTGATGTTTCGTATGTCTAGAACGGTGTGTTAGGAATCCATGATAGGATTTCGCGTCTTGAATCGTGCTAAGGGTCCAACTTTGTGATTCGTTGGGCTGCTGTGAGTCTTGAATGTTCTTTGGAACTACTTTTGGTTTACCCATCTGATAAGCATGCTAGTTTGATGTTGAAATGCTAGTATGTGTTGTTTGTTCCTTCTTATTGGGATTGGCAACTTGTGTTGACAATCATTTGGTGTTGGATTGTAATCATTTGTTGTTGACTATGGTCTCATGTCTTTATTGTGATCTCTTGATTGATTCCTATGATGGATCGTATGCAAATCGTTGTACCCTTTGTTGATACTTGATTGAGGCTATTGTTGAGCCTTAGTCCTCTTGGTAATGATGATGACCTTGTGTGACTATGATTGAGATTGGTGGTTGTTATTTGAGCTTTGCTCACTTGTTGGAGGTTGTGTGAATGAAATTAATGGTACCCTCGTGTACTGAGAGTTCGGTGGTAATGTGGGTGGATGTAGGTGGGGGGACGACGGTCCCCGGAGGCATAAGGTTGGACTCAGAAGTACAGGGTGGCACTAGGAGGTAATGGTTGGAACTGAAATAAGGCCGGGGTAGCCATGAGGTTGGAACAGGGTATAAGGTTGGAACTATGAAACTTGTGACATGTAGTTGTCACATTGGCATGTAGTTGCCACTGTGTGAATGTGAATTCCTTGCTTATGAGAATGTCTTGATGTATTCTACTTTGTGATCAGTAGGATGCATCCTGAGTTGTGTTGTCGTTCATGTTTGTGGTCTTGTTGTTATTGTGAGGATGATGATCCTCGTTTCTATTGAGAGTGATTGATGAGTCTTTGATGTTGACTTCTCTCTTTGGTTTTAAAACGATATATATTGTATTCCCGTTCCAAATGGTGTTGATTATATCTATCTATATATGTCATTTAGCGCGTATGGATGGGTTACCAGCAATATTCGCTGACCGGGTGTTATCCCCATGTTTTACATGTTTTGAGTAGATGTCGAGCGCGCTAGATGTGGACGCTAGATAGAGTAGCTCCCATGTTTAGACGTTACCTTTTGTTGGCCTGTGTGCCTAGATTAGCGGCCTGTGAGCCTAGACTAGTGGCCTGTGTGCCTAGACGTTTTCTGTTTATTGATTTGATAGTTTTCCGCTTGTGCACCTATGTTTGAGATAGGTGTGGCATAACATCTCTCCGGTTTTAATTAAGTTTCCGCTGTTGTTTATCTTGATGATTAGATGCTTACCTTTCTAATTAAGTTTTAAAAAATGTTGAAAAATCAGGGGTGTTACAAAAAGGACCTTGAAAAATGGACGAAAACGGCCCTAAAAGATGGGTAAACATGCCTTGAATGATGGGCGAAAAGATGGGGGAAAATTATGTGGTCTAACGAGAGTAGTTAGACGTTGACTGTTGGAGACATTGATAAAGCCGTGAGCCATTTTTATGAACGATTTTCATACATTTCCTTCCTTATGTGGATATGCTTATGCATGGAAAATGACAAAGCTAGAGCAGAAAGGTGTGATCGGCTAAGGGAGGGGGACGATAGGGAATTTAAATAAACAGCAACAGGAGGGCATGTTGATTAGTTTAATCTTATACGAGAAAGCAGACGCACGCATAAGAGATGGAGCTGGCACAGAGGAAAAATATATGTCTCAGCGGAATTGCGAAACTGAAAATAGATTACAGAAGTTGAGAGAGGCTTGCGAAGGAAACTCATCGGTGTTGAAAGTGGTGGAGAAATTGGGTTATGCAATATCACCGAAACCAGGGACGGAGCCAGAATTTATTGGTGCGGGGGGTTAATCACAAAAGAGAAGATCCAGCCGTCACTGCTCGTAGCTCGAGTTCACCGCAGTTGCCATCATCAACTAAGGAAACGAAAGAGAGGATTTAGCTACCATTTAATTACAATATCTATACTTTTTGTTGTGGTGAGGATCAATGAATCAATCTCCAATAAAGAATAATTCATTTAAAAAATTCAAAGGTTTAAAGAATAAAAAAGAAATGAAAAATTACCTATAATTTCTATACTGTAGATTCATAAAATTTATACTTTGGATTCCAATTGTTGAACTCTGTTTTCACAAATCAGAGAACTAAATGTTCATAATTTGATAATTATACGGTTTAGAAATTATGAATTTATAGTACGGAAATTATGAATCTACAGTACAGATATTATGAATTTGCAGTATAGAAATTATAAATTTACTATATAGAAATTATGAATATACTGTATTTAAATTATGAATCTACGGGGTTTAGAAATTATGAATTTAAAGTATAAATTTTATGAATCTACATTATAGAAATTATGGATCTATAGTATATAAATTATGAATCTACAATATATAAATTATGGATATTGAGCCGTGCCTACCTTGACACGTGATCACAGCATAACAAACAAAATAACTATTATATACTAATAATTTTTTTATTTTCTTTTGGGAGGACAAGCCCCTGGCTGCTGCACTATACTAATAAAAAAGAAGATTTTTTTTTTTTGGGAGGGGAGATGGGCAAGGCCCGCTGGAGCTCAAAGGTGGCTCCGCCACTGACCGAAACAGCATGTGCAATTAAACTTGGGGTTTGCTGTGTTCCATAACTGTATGTACGGTGGTAATTCTGACATGCCAAAATGCATATGTACAATTATTGTGTAACATTCTCTGTACTCAAAAAAAAAAAAAAAAAAAAAAAAAAAAAAAAAAAAAAAAAAACCTCTCGGTCACTTTTGTAACCGGTTGAGCCGAGTAAAATTTGGGTAGTCAACCAGCCGTCTAAACGGTTAAGAAGCGAAAGCTTATCTGGGTGGCCGACCAGCCATCTGAATGGTCGAGAGGCGAAAGCCTTCCTGGGCGACCAGCCATTAGAATGGTCGAGAAACAAAAGCCTTTTTGGGTGACTGACCAGCCATCTAAATGGTCGAGAGGCGAAAGCCTTCCTAGGTGGTCAACCAGCCGTTTAAATGGTTAAGAGGCAAAAGCCTATTTGGGTAGTCAACCTACCGTCTAAATGGTTAAGAGGCCAAAACCTATTTGGGTGCTTACCTGCCAATCAAATGGTAAAAGAGGAGGCAACTGCGAGAAAACAACTAAGTCACCCCTTAGACGCGGGGCGGCCGGTTGACTAATTTTTTCTCTTTGAAATCTTTGCGTTTGAGGATATGCAACAAGATACTGAGGGGCTGGCACGTGCCAAGTGGTCAACTAACAGACCAACCCATTTACACTAGTACAAAATTGAACATAGAAGATTGACCATAGGCCACCATTGTTGAAAGAATGGTTGTCTAATCTTAGCCCAAAAATTTGCGGTGGCAATTTTGTAAATAAGTGATCAATAATCCGCCACCATTGTTAGCTGTAATGGTTGCCCATTGTATTTTGTATTTATTTAAAAAAATTAATTTATAATAGGCAACCATTTCTAATAGAAATGGTTGCCTTAAAATAGAACTTGTTTTGTAATAGGCAACCATTTCTAATAGAAATGGTGGCCTTAGATTAACCCTAGATCTATGCAATCAGAAGACATATCAACACTCCAAGACGAACGAACGAATCCAAGACGTGACCACTGATCGACGAACGAAGACGACGATCGGCGTGACCACCGATCTGCCGCTGTCGATCTGCCGCTGCTCTCTCCGGCGACCACGCTCTCGATCTCGCCCCGCCACCACGCGATTGTTCTCGCCCCGCCACGATCGATCTGCTCTCTCCGGCGACCGCGATCGATCTGCTCCCATCCGACCTCGACGCTCTCGCCCGGCGACCCACCGCCACCACGCCGTTGGCGGAGACCACCGCGATGCACCGCCACACGCATAGCAACCGTCGCACGCCCACACCACGACGCACTGCCACAGCCAAGCCGCCATCCCCGGCCCGCCGGCGCCACTGCCGCCCTTAGCCGACGCCACTGCCGCCTCCCTTTCCCGACGCCGCGCCACTGCCAGGTTAGTTTTTTTTTTTTTTTAAAAAAAAAAAAATTTAATTGTTAATTGTTAATACAATGTGCTAAAGAATGCTCACCAAAATCAAGTATGGAAGGTGAAATCCTGTTTTGTTATGTGAAGTTGTGAGATTTAGCTAATGCTTTGAGGCACTGTCAATACATTGTTGTAAAGATGATATCTTGTTATGACATTGTTGTAGCCATCTTGTAAACAGTTCAGGGCTTAGCTGCAGCCTGCAAAAACAAATTCAACACAAAACTTATTTATCTCCACTGCACACATAATATTATTGTATGCGTATCTATAGAACTCTGGTATCATCAAGTTGTATGATCATCGGTAGCATTCAAGAAATATACCTGAAATTTTTTCATAAAGCTTTCAACGTGCTCCTTGGGGTCGCGTTTTGTTACTTTGTAAGCATCAATCTTGTTCACCTCCTACAGAACAATAGATAAAATGAATAGGGTGATGTTTCAAAAATACTGATAATTTCTTTTTGGTTTCCAATTAACTGTTGTTCTGAGATTATTTCATTGACAGTTTATTTTGGTATAGACACACTCGAGAGAAGTAAGCTCAGTAGTACCTCGATCCAGTGTGCAAGTTTCGGCCTGCCCTGTGTTATATCATAGTTCTTGAATTCATTGAAGAAAGTCTGGAACCTCTCGGTAAATGGTATAAAAGCTATATCCACCTGAAATTTACGTAGCCAATCATGAATTAGAACCAATATGAAAGTCTTTGTGCTAACTGGCACTAATAGAAAATATGGAGAAGTTCTAGGCAACCGATTGGCATGCATGTGGAAGTTCCAAATGGTTTCTGTTTAAAACAAACTCCTGCCATACAGAAAATGCCTTAGAAATTTCATTAGTGAATTTGGCACACTTTTAGACAGCACATGCCTGAGAAAACTTCTTGTTACTAACTCCACTCAAATGTTGAGGGGAAGCATGGTGCAGCCTTATAGACAACACATGCATGAGAAAGCTGTCAAATTCATGTTTGTAGTAGTTTATGGTAACTTACTACTTCTGGATTCTGGTTTTCTGTTTCTTTGCTTGAATGCTATCCATTAATATATTGTTCTCATTTTTGTTTCATTTGTTGTCAATTCATGGGTTTAGAAACTATCTTTTAGTCTGATGGTTTTCATTTCTTTTTGCCTTGCGTTCTGAACTTCTGATTTTGATCCATAATTCAGTTTAGTTATTTGGAGTAACTAGGCAAACAAGGATTATAGACTTATTTCATATGTAGACTTGGGAGTGGGAATGCCTTTGGAAACTTATAATTAGAAGTGTAAGAACTAACTTGAAAAGATAAGGCATCTTTGTATTTGTGCTTTATCTGTCTTTCCTAGTAATTTTAACTGCTTCCATGCTGAATTTTGTATTGCTATTTTCACTTCTTAGAGAGTAAGAATACAATTATAAGGGTCTCAATATTTGAGCTGAAAAAATTTGAGATCGTATATCAGACTGTTTTATGATCATGGTGGATATAAAATGGGACATTGGGATTTATGATGTATATAAACAGACATGAAGTTATGAGATGATATTTACTGACATGTTTATCTTTTTTCTTATTCAACTAATTTTTATATGGTAGGACATGCTGCAATCCTTAGTGATCAAGTACCTGATGCATATTTGCACATATGATCTCAATATTGTTTTTTTAACCTACATGTCTATCCTGCAGTTGGAAATCTTCACAGAAATGTGTTGATTTTTTTCAGATATTTTTTTAATTAATTCAATGTCTCATTGCGTATCCATATCTGATTAGTACTTAGAGTAGTATTTTATGAATTCACAGATATGGATAGGAGTTGGATGTTCGGAAAACGCACTACATTCCCATATATGCAAGGGGTTCAAGAGTTTATACAATGTGCTGAAGAAAATATGAGTAAAAAGGGGGAGGACTTTATTGTGTGCCCGTGTTGCGATTGTCAGAATTTTAAAAGATATCGTAGTTCTGATGAAGTGAAGAGTCATTTGATACGTCGTGGTTTTAAGGAAGGATACACAAGATGGATATGGCACGGTGAAAGCTTAATTCCTAGTACAAGTGTAATTAAGGAAACTTATATAGATAGTGAAACTCATGCACACGGTAAAACTAAAGCAAATTGTCAAACTCTTGAAGATAATGAGGAGAATAATGCATCTCATGTTAGCAATGATGAGAATGATGAAGATAATGATCGAATAGATGAAATGATGCGTGATGTGCAGGAAGATTTTAGTGAAATGCCTCCTGAATTTAAAAATTTGTTTGACAATGCTGAAAAACCGTTGTTCCCTGGAAGTACTAAATTTACTAAGTTATCTGGAGTGCTTAAATTATATAATTTAAAAGCAAAGAATGGATGGAGTGATAAAAGTTTCACGGGATTATTAGAACTAATAAAAGACATGCTTCCGGGTGACAATGAACTTCCTAATTCAACTTACGAAGCAAAAAAAATGTTGTGTCCTTTGGGTATGGACATTGAGAGGATACATGCATGTCCAACTATTGTATTTTGTATTGAAAAGATTATAAGGACTTGCATGTGTGTCCAACGTGTGGAGCATCATGTTATAAAAACAAAGATGCATGTAAGAATAAGAAAGGGTCCCCCAGCCAAAGTATTATGGTACTTACCCATAATACCAAGATTTAAACGCATGTTTGCTAATCCAAGAGAGGCAAAAAATTTGCAATGGCATGCTATTGGAAGAAAAGAAGATGGAAAACTGAGACATCCAGTTGATTCACCTCAATGGAGAAATATTGATAGGAGGTGGCCTGATTTCGGTTCTGAAAATAGAAATCTTAGACTTGGACTGTGTACTGATGGAATGAATCCTCATGGTAACATGAGCAGTCGACATAGTACTTGGCCTGTTCTTTTAGTAGTTTACAATCTTCCTCCTTGGTTGTGTATGAAAAGAAAATACATCATGTTGTCGTTGTTGATATCAGGGCCTAAACAACCAGGAAATGACATTGATGTATATCTAGCGCCACTTGTTGAGGATTTAAAGATTTTGTGGAATGAAGGTGTGCCGGTGTATGATGCTTATACTCGAAGCAGATTTACCTTACGTGCAATGATTTTTTGCACAATAAATGATTTCCCAGCTTATGGTAACCTATCGGGTTATACTACTAAAGGAGCTAAGGCATGCCCAATTTGTGAAGATGAAACTCCCAGTCTATGGTTGAGTAACTGTAAAAAGAATGTGTTCATGAGCCACAGGACATTTCTCCCTACGGGTCATCCTTATCGTAAGAAGAGAAAGGCTTTTAATGGAAATCTTGAGACTCGAGTTGCTCGTTTACCTTTATCTGGAGATACTATTTATGAACGTGTTAAGAATATTGAAGTTGATTTTGGTAAGACTTGTAAGACTAGTCAAACGACTCCTTGGAAGAAGAGGTCTATATTTTGGGATCTACCATATCGGGAGCATTTATCAGTTAGACACTGTCTTGATGTTATGCATGTTGAAAAAATGTTTGTGACAGCATTATTAGGACACTGTTAAACATTCAAGGGAAGACGAAAGATAGTGTTAAGGTTAGAAAGGATATGATTGAAATGGGAATACGGGATAAGTTAGCACCACAAGAGTTAGGAAAGCGGACATACTTACCTCCAGCTTGTCATACTTTATCCAAAAAAGAGAAAACAAGTTTTTGTGCCTGTTTAAATGGTGTCAAGGTTCCTTCTGGGTATTCGTCGAATATTAAGAAACTTGTGTCGATGAAGGACCTTAAGTTGGTTGGCATGAAGTCTCATGACTGTCATGTATTAATGCAACACATGTTACCAATTGCTATTCGAGACATCCTACCGAAACATGTTAGGCGGGCTATAACAAAGCTTTGTTTCTTTTTCAATGCTATTTGCAGTAAAGTTATTGATCTAGATGTGTTAGATGATTTGCATGCTGATGTGGTTGTTACTTTGTGTCAATTTGAAATGTATTTTCCTCCATCTTTTTTTGATATTATGGTGCACTTGATTGTTCATTTGGTGAGGGAAATTAAGATGTGTGGTCCGGTTTTTTTGAGGTACATGTATCCGTTTGAAAGATATATGGGAATATTGAAAGGATATGTGAGAAACCGGTATTGACCTGAAGGGAGTATAATTGAAGGTTATGGTGCTGAAGGAGTCATTGATTTTTGTACTGATTATTTAGCTAATGTTGAGTCAATTGGTGTTTCTAAGTCTCGTCATGAAGGAAGACTCACCGGGAAAGGTACTATTGGGTACAGACCAGTTTCTCCACCTTTGCAGTTGCGAAATAAGGCACATAATCTCGTATTGCAACATCTTTCTGAGGTACATCCATACTTGGACCAACACATGTCCCTGATAAGAGAACAAAATCCTTTAAAGGGTGAAAGATAGGTGACCATTGAACACAATCGCACATTCATCACATGGTTCAAAGATACAGTGATGAAAGACGACTTATCTCAAGTCAGTGAAACCATCAAATGGTTAGCATATGGACCTGATTTGCTTGTAAGTTGTTATGAAGGTTATGACATAAATGGATATACATTTTACACCAAGTGACAAGATGAAAAGAGTGTGGTGCAAAATAGTGGGGTTACACAAGTAGCATTATCAAAAGATTATTCAAGTGCTAAGGATACTAAACCGATTGATGCTGCTATGTCTTATTATGGTGTGATTGAAGAAATTTGGGAACTTGATTACAAAGTGTTTAAAATTCCTCTATTCAAATGTAGTTGGGTCGATAATAGAAGATGCGTTCGGATAGATGAATTGGGTTTTACTTTGGTTGATTTTGAACGGTTGGGTTATCATGATGAACCATTCATACTTGCATCTCACGCAAAACAAGTGTTTTATGTTTCTGATCCTGTTGATAATAAGTGGTCAATTGTGTTACAAAGCAAAAGATCTATTGTTGGTGTTGGTGATGTTTTGGATGAAGAAGAGTATGATCATTTTGATGAAACTCCTCCATTTTCTATTGGCTTTCAGTCTTTACCTTTAGAAGAAGATAACCTTGAAATAAGTTACATGCGTAGTGATCATGAAGAAGGATTGTGGGTTGACAATCGGTTGTAATATTGTAAGCTTTATAAATTGTTAAATAATTTTTAAGACTATTTTGTTCAAGTTGAAATGCAATATAACATGTTTACTAATAATTTTATTTGGTTTGTGCAGGTATATATAGATAATCATGCCTGATCAATCTATATCTTCAGACCCTCCTACTAAAGCTACTAAACGCAAAAAAAGAGGGCCTACAACATGTAAAAAATTGAGAAAAAAAAAGGCTTCGGAACTTTCAGTTCAGTTTGATGAAAGTGGTAGGATAACTGGAGAACATTCTACTGAGTTTTCTACATACATTGGGACTTTGGTTCGTGCTCGTGTTAATATCAATTTCAAGAATTGGCGTGAGGTAGATTCAAATCTTAAAAATACCATTTGGGAAGATGTTAAGGTATATTAAAGAACTTTATATTAATAACAATAAGTCAAGTATATATATATTATGTTGCTTATGTGCGTTAAACTATTCAGGGGCAATTTGGTATTGAAGATGCTTCAAAGAAGTCAGTGGTTTTGAAAATTGCACGGACGAGATGGGGAGACTTCAAGAGTAGATTATTACGTGAGTTTGTACACAAGAAGCATCAAACGTATAACTCTCCTACAGAACTTTATGACTTTTTGAGTGCAGAACAATGGGAGAAGTTTGTAGCTAGTCGGCAGTCTGAAGAGTTTAAGGTATATTTAGATCATTTAGTTATAAGTAAAGTGTTTTATTAATATTAACATGTCTGTGAAATTATAGGAAAGAAGTCAGAAGGCTAGGGAATTGCAAGCGTTAAATGACCATCCACACTTCTTAGGTTCTAGTGGATATGCGAAGAGACGACAAGAGTGGATGAAAGAAGATCCCCTATCCTCACAATCTTCGTGTGCATCAGTTAGCTCGTCTTTGTTGTCCGATGATAGCAGCTTTGATTGGATACGAGCAAGAACAAAAAAAGCAGATGATGGAAGTTATTTTATTCCAAATGAAAAAACACAGGAAGTGTTTCATAAAATTGTAAGTATTATATTTTTTTAAATGTCATAATAGTACATAATATTTATAAAAATACTAGTACTTGACTTATTTTAATTTGTTGGAACAGATAGAAAAATGTAAAGAACTTGATCAAGGAAAATTTGAAGCAAAACGACACCATGACGTATTGTCAGTAGCTCTTGGAAAGGATGATAATTCAGGTTCTGTAAGAGCAATTGGTTCATACTCTACCATCCAAGAAGTGTTTGGTAGACCAAATCGGAAACAAAGCACATCGAGTGGGGTTTACTCAGAAGCTGTTGTCCAACAAATGTTAGAGAAATGTAGGCAAAATACAATAATGGAGGTGGAAGCAAAGATGAATCCCAAGATTGAAACAATGGACCAACAACTCAAGTTTTTGATGAAGAACATATCGGGGACACATCTATTTTCAGGAGGGGTCTCGCATGATCCACCGCCTACTCGTAGCAGTTGTCATTCAGTTGACACATATCCAGTTACAACAATTCAGGTAATATTAAAAGTTATTTCATATATCAAAAAATTATTTCTTGTTAGATTAAGATTAACACACAATTTTGAATAATAGAGTACAAAAAGGTGTTTACTAGCAGTATGTCCCAATGGAACACCAATTGATGTTGCAAAGGGTATGGTTCACCCAAGTACTGACGAGACTTTGGTGGATCACCAACCATTGTTGTATAACTGTGTCAAAGTTTCGGTGGATGAAGTGATTAAGGGTAGAGGACACTTTACTCTCCCCTTTCCAGATCAAAAATATGTCACTATAGCAGATATAGTAGGCAGTTTTGCACAATGGCCTATGCATTTAGTGACTTTAGAAGAGGTATGCATTCTTTTATTTAGTTATTAATTAAGTTAGTTTTCGTTATTTATATTTAAAAGGGGCTAGTAAACTTACAATTTTATATTTGTAGAGTTCATCAAAACAAAATATGAAACCAAAAGATCAAAGTGTTGATCTATCTACTACTAGTGCACGAGCTCCCATTGTTGGTGATGATGTCTTACCGCACTTGGGGGACAATTGCAAATGTTTAGTGGATTTGTTGACAAGCTTTCCACTTGGTAAAGACTGTATTGAGTTGGAGCTGGATAAAGCTATCTTCCATCATAAAAACACAAGTTCTATTTTTGTGATGGTGAAGGATATAGCGGATTTGATGATGATGAATTGGCTTAATGTCTCAATCATACAAGTGTTTATACTGTAAGTTTTTTTTTTAATTATTACTATATTTTATATATATGTTTACCTATATTTAGTAAAATATCTTATTCATTATTTCTTAATTTTCAGATTTCTTAATCAGTTGTGCAATGAGTATGACATTAGGTCAATCGGGTTTGTCTGTCCGACTCAGATTTGCCACACTACGCTTAAAAGCAGTTCCAGCAAAGTTACATCATATTTCATCCACGTCATGGAGCAGCACAAAGATAAAAACTTTATTTTAGCACCATATCATCAAGAGTAAGAAAATTGTTCTTATATTTTATTAATATAACTCATAACTTTATATTTGGAGTATTAGATATTAAATTTTTAATATATATTTGTGTTTTTAAATGTAGCTCTCATTGGTTACTTTTGGTGATTTGCATACGGTCAAAAAGCGTATGTATCTTGGATCCCTTGCCTTCTAATCGCAACATAGGTTTAATTAAAGGCTCTGTGAATTTGTAAGTAAATACTTTATTATTATTTATATAAGTATTTTAGCAACTATGCTATTATTTATAAATTTTTATGTATATGCTTATAATTATTATAGGGCATTTCGCTCTGTTCCTACGAGTGCACGGGTTAAGAGCATCAATTGGAAGCCATGCAAAGTATGTATGAAAATTGAATTTAAGTTTTAGTGTGATATTTTGAATTACATTAAGTTGTTTAAATTAGTAAAATAATATATGTATATTTTTTAGTGCCCGATCCAACCGGGAGGTCACGAGTGTGGATATTATGTCATGCGATACATGTATGACATCGTGACAAAATATTCATCTGTTGATAATTTGGATGGGGTAAGTGAATTTAAATAGAACTATGTATAGTTAAGTTATATTTTCTTAATTAACATATTTAATAATTTTATTAATTTAATTTTTTGTAGGCATTTGAAAGAGATAGTCCGTATTCTATCGACGACATAAATGAGGTTCGAGAGCATTGGTCAAAGTTCTTCTTTTCCGAGTGCTTGTAACTTTTATTTTATTGATAAAAAGTATTTTGTTTTTGATGATAGTATTGATCGAGTTGGGCATGTTTTGATGATATTATTGTATTAAAGTATGAGGATTTTAAGTGCTATATATTGTATTTTGATGATAGTATTTGCATTGTGTGTTAAAGGTATTATTTTAAAGTGTGTTGATAGTTGAGTAATGTTGATAGGATTTGAATAAGCTGTAACAGGTACAGGAATTACAAAAATTAGGGATTTTAATCAAATAAAATAAATAATAAAAAATAAAAAATAGAAAAGGCGACCATTTCTAGCCAGAAATGGTCGCGTTTTCCCTTCGAATTAAAAAAAAAAAAAAAAAAGAAGCAATACGCGACCATTCTTTGTCAAGAATGGTCGCGTATTACTAACAATGCGCGACAATTTCACAATGGTCGCGTAAAGTCAATGCTTTTGCGCGAGCCTCTCATAGGCGACCATTGTACAATGGTCGCCTATTGTCTTTTACAATGGTTGCCTATCTGCAGTTTTGTACTAGTGTTAGGGGGTTGCATCTTATGAAGATGCTTTTTAATCGATGTTTTAAATTTTGCAGGTACTCGGCCTCATGGTCATTAAGTACTCGACCATTCGATGGTGTATTTTAGGTCAGCATGGTGTGCGTTACTACACCAGATGTTGGTGATGGGTAGTGCAATGGTCTGGGTGTTGGGGTGGTGTATAACTTTGTACTGTCGAAGAAGTGCATGTGCATCAGGAGCGTCTGTGTGGTGCATGCTGTAATCGGGTGTGGTGCACGTATGGTAGAACTGTGGTGCATTTGTGGGATACTATTTATTTATTGTTCATTCATTCTGTGAAGCAACTCTGTTGTAAATGGTTTTGCTTTTTGTTAATAATATGGCAGGGGAAACATATGCCGGAACAGGGTTGGATGGAGCGATGTAGTGCCAAATGGAGATTTTTCCAAGTACTGGACACTAGATTGTGATGATGCAATCAAGCTGAATGTTGGGCAAAGTTTTAGCACATTGGAAGAGAGGATCGAATTATACAGGCATTATGTTGGGGGTGGTTGGATTTGATGTGAGGCAGAGTACTGTGAAGAAAAGTAAGGATGATCAAATCGTCGTCTGTTGGGATATAGGTATTTCGAATATAGGAGACAGTGAAGATGGTGGGACTCCAATGCAAAGGAGACGAGATCATGATTATCATTTTTTTTTTCTTTTTTGAATGCTATTGACTCTATTACGATGTAGTATCAATAAGTATCATGGGGCCACAGCTATGCCGCTCAATCACAAGGCCTTTGGCACGACATGATTACCTTAATTGTCCCTTAATTTAATGTTTTATAGTCTAATTAGGCATCATTTTCTTAGTATCCCATTGAAATTTATGTAGACATACACTTTGTTTTGCAATAATTTTATCTTACCTGGCGGTACTTGAGAATTTTACCAACTATATTGTAGACGTCTATGATCTTTACGTAAATCTAAACCTAAAGAGTGGTGCATTAGCTGTTCGTGTCGTTTAGATTACGAGATTAGGAGCCGTGACATCCGTGTTTTAAGGAATGGGTTGTATATGCTATTGGGTAGGTGGGGTACGAGATCAAATCTGCACAAGTATAATTATTGGATTAAATTTCTTTTGATAAAAGATAATTATGCACGAGAGAAATGAAAAAAAACGTGAAATTAATGATTAAAAGATGATAAATTTGTCAAAAATTTTCTTCAAACACGATAAACCATCTTTAAAAAGTTAAAAAAAAAAAATGTTTCCATTTCCCTAGGGTTTCAAAATACACCAACCGTTTAAAGTCCACAAAAATCCAATTCACAAAGTTAATTTTTTAAAAAAATGGCAAAATCAACATCACTTGATTGAACTACATAGCATTTCACGTTCGTATCGTGCTACTCGGGTGCTAATGTACTCCTTATGCACATTAACGTCTGCCATGAGGATGCCGTACATGTTCCCGTATTCTCTTTCGCTTTGTGCATGTTTAAATAGGAGTTAGTTTCTCATCAATCAAATTTTGGCCATTATTGAAAGAAGACAGAATTTAGAGGATTAGAGGAATGCAGTTCTTTAATAACATAGATGTGTTTGACAACAAATATTCTATTTGATTGTTGTTTGACTCATCTTGTGAATAACATTGTAGGAAAACAAACACATTCAAAAGCAGACCTTATGATAAGATTTATTTAAATTATTGCCAAAGATAGATATATATATTTAAATAGGAAAACTAGACGGGTTAAATGACTGAGATAAGGAACAATTTTAAGATTAGTAGTATAAAAATAAAAATAGTCATGCTATCTGCAAAAGCTAGTATAATAGAAAACATGTGTTCAAACTAAAGCACCACACCCCTCAAATGAATGCACAAATCTAGCACCATGGATGCACAACAACTAATTTACAACTTGCACTACTATCACTAGATGACTCTATGGGTAAGGATGGGAATATGCCAAACCCCTTTGTAGGGGCTTATTTGGGGCTGTGCAAAATTCGGATAATTTTTGGTTAATCGATTGAACCAATAAAGTTCGATTACCGTTTTTAACCGAACTTTTTCGATTCGGTTAATGGTTAAAAATTTTCTAAATTTCGATTAATGGTTAATTCGGTTTGAAAGTATCGATTAACAGAATTAACCGAGCGGTTAACCAAACTTTTATATATATATATATATATATATATATATATATATATATATATATATATATATATATATATATATATATATATATATATATATATATATATATATATATATATATATATATATATAGGGCCGGTCCTATCATTTTATAGGCCCGGGGCAGGATAAAAAAAAATAGGCCCCGGTTAATATATATTTCATGCCTAAAATTTAAATTAAATAAGGAAAAAATTATTAATATCAATAATTTTAAATAAAATTAACAAGTTTTTAACAATTTTATATACACAACAATAATCATGAAAAAAATTCTAGGTGGTTTCCTTAATGCAAAATAATAAATAATTGTATAAGTGCCTTCATAAATAAATAATATTATAGTTTATAAAAATGAATAAATAATTTAAAATCGAGTAAACGTATAAACAATAACAGTGTTATCATAATAAATAATAAATTAATTATTATTAAAAATTTATAAAACAATAATTACAAACATGTGTGAAGCTAAAAATCTTTTTTAACTAGGAGCAAGAAATTAAAATATTTCAAAACGTAATAAAAAAATACAAAAAGATATGAAACATAATTATCTAGATAAAACAGTTTGAACATAAAGCATATTATAAATCACACATCTTCTATATTATTTATATGATTTTTTTAATACTTTTTTCTTTTAAATAAATAAATTTTAAACTTTTTTAAAATAATTTGAATACAATGACACATAATAGAAGCTTCTATATTACATTGATTAGATATTCATAAAAAGGTACGGAGTAAATTATCTTTTAATTTTTTTTATAATTCAATCTCAAAATATATCATATAACCCCCGCCCTCCGTCCTATTTTTATGTGTCTTGTTTGGTTAACATGAGTTGATTGAAGTTTTTTTAATTCAATTTTTCATAATATGTTTAGTATAAGTATATAAAAATTTATAAATTTAGAAACTGCATTAAAATTTTAATATAAAAATTTATATATTTAATATAAAAAAAATTCATAATATTTTTATTATAAATAAATTAAAATTTATATATTTAAAAACTATATTAAAAATACTACTCCGTATTAAACACAAAAAATCAATAAAAATAAATTTTTAAAATATACATTAGAATATAAGCAAAGAAGTAAAGTTGAGGAAATGATTGGATCACCGGCCTTTGATTATTAAATGAGGTTAAAACTTAAGTATCTTACCAACCAAGCTAATTCACCTTACTGTAAGCCATATGTATATAAACTAGTTATACTCAATATATGTATACTATATATATATATAAGAGATAGGATGGGGCCCTCCCCCAAGCATGGGCCCTGGGCAAGGGCCCAACCTGCCCTTGCCCCAGGGCCGGCCCTGTTAATATATAGAATTAGGTTCTGGTGCGGTTAGGGTGCCCATGTGCGGTTGTGCGGTTTAATTTGGGTCGTTCATCTCGCTTAAATCAACGTCCAGGATTACTAAAATTAAAAAAAAAAAAATGCGATGGCAATTTTATAATTTTTGCATCTAGGTCAAAATTAAGGTGAGCGGTTCTGTGATTAATGTGCGTAAGTTTTGTATATAAGATGCGTGAGTCTTGTGCGTAAGGTGCGTGAGTTTTGTGTGCTTAATGTGCGTGGGGTTGTGCTTAATGTGAGTAGTTGTTAAAAATTAAAGTGTGGACTTTTGTGCTTAAGGTGCGTATGATTTATACTTAATGTGAGTGGAGTATGTGTTTAATGTGGGTAGGGTTTTGTACTTAATGTGCGTGAGTTTGTGCTGCGTGAAGTTGTGTTTAATGTGCGTGGGTTTTGTACTTAATGTGCATGAGTTTGTGCTTAAGATCTAACACTTAAGGTGCATGTTTCTATCACTTAAGGTGCGTCATTTTTAGTTTATGCTTCTTACTTCCAAACACGCATTTTTTTTTTAATTTTCATTGATTTGAGCCATTGATCTAAATTTGATCAACGGCTCAGATCTAACCGCACAATCGCACGGGAAGCTATACCCGCACCTGAACCCTTCCACACACACACACACACACACACATATATATATATATATATATATATATATATATATATATATATATATATATATATATATATATATATATATATATATATATATATATATATATATATATATATATATATAATGTATTAAATATTTAAATGAAATATGTAAACTAAGTACTAAAATCTCAAATAGTGTTGTTACGGTATTAATTTTGTATATTTTCTTATGAATTTATTATTATATGTATTATTTTAATTTTAATTAAATTTATTATTATGGGTATTATTTTTAAGATTTTAAACTTTAGCATAAAAAAGTTCGATTAATCAGTTAACTGAAAAAAATTTCGATTCAGTTAACCAAAAAAACGGTTAACCGATTGACCTGACCTAAATAAGGCATGCATAGGCTTGGCTTGTTTAGGGTAAATTATTGTGTGGACCAAGCCTCAAAACGACGTTATTTTAACTTCTAAAAAAAATTAATTGGATAAAGTACATTGTCTTAATGCATAAAGTTCATTATTTCCATACATCATTTGTATACTTTATGTTTCATTGTTTTAGTGAATATCTTATTTCTTTGTAGAGTGTGGCTAGATTTATTCGGCACACCCCATTCCCCTCTACTTAGAAATTTGGTATTTACTAAAAATAATTTAAATGTGTTTATGCTAATAAATTGTTAGTTGTAGAAAAAATATTGTATTTTGAATTCTATTATAGTTGTAGTGTTTTTTGTAATTTACAATTAATCAAGAATTACTGGGGCTTTCAGTTCATTCAATTGGAGAAACGTATAATCTATATAATGATTATGTTTTAAGGTTGGGATTTAACGTTAGGAAGAAGCGTATAATCTATTTCAAACACAAAAATGGTCCCCACATCTACCTATACGAAGCACCATTATCTACAACACAAACATTATATAATAAACAACACAACACAAACATTCATTAGTTATTCAAATTCTATCTATTAGAAGAAGAGCCTACCTTTTAGATTTGATGCTTAAATAAACTTGCATACTTGATTGTTTGAATATGAACATATCATATCTACTGTGGTTCAAAGTGGTTTGTATTGTCTAGACTTTTTACCACTCTTTCTGGACTAAGAATTGGCATCAAAGCGGTTGTCTATTTGAGTCAATCTTGACTACTAGACAGATCTCAAAAACTTCAAAATAAAGAGAGAGATGCTTTTTACTCAAAATTTATTATTTTCCTTAGAAAAATTTGATGATTGGGAAATTCGTATGCATGTACACTTATCTGCACTACATGATGAGACGTGGGAAGTAATAACTAATGGTATCACTAATGGTCTTATTGAAATCTTGTAAGTGACAACTGCTTCCGTACAAACAAGTGATACTCCACCGTACGTTCCAAAGCCTAAGGTCGAATGGACTCGTGAATATAGAATACGAAATAACTTAGATAATATTGCCAATGATATTTTGTTCAAATATATCGATGATACGATATTCTCAAAAGTTCGAAAATGCAAATCAGGAAAGGAAGTTGGAGAAACGCTCATTCATATCGATGATGGTGACGAACCCAGGAAAATGATAATAAACTCACCATGGCATTGCAGAAATTTGATGGTAGAAATTCCTTTCTGGACTGAGCTTTTTTAGTCAATCCCCTTCCTCTGCCCACACATGGAGCAATATCACGACCAATAGTTCTATTAACACCATGGCCTCCCGGTCCACCGTCCCATTGTATATCTTTAGGAGAAATCTAGAGGTGAATTCAAAAAGAAAGGTAAAAATTCAACAATCTTTTCGAAGAAACTACAGCACTACACGGAAATGTAACATGAATCACATCCAAGAAATTGATGAAAAGTAAAACTATTTAACGCGCACATTTTGAATTTGATAGCATTTGAAAATAGCATTATATAAGACACCCAAACAGTTTATCCCCATACATAGACAACACATTCTAAATTGCCGACAGTAGGTATTATATCTTTGCTCACCTTAACAAAAATAGATTATACATAACACAAATTCATGAGGAATAATCATAAACTTCACAAAAGAAGCATAATGGAAAGCTCAACACAAGTCCATGACATGAAACATTAATACCTATAACAATTATTTCATTGGAAAGATTCAAATTTGGAATTTTAAAATACTTAAGAAAATTCAACTTTGAATTGTTTCCAAACATCAGCAATCGACACAACTACTCTCCTCCCAATAAGAGAAACTTTGGCATGCATGATAGAAACTGACAGTGGAAACATCTGGTAAATATTACAAGCAATAAAACATGTTAACTAATTACATTGTGATGTCATCAAATAGAAAAACTACCTCTGAAAGGTTTACCCATTCCCAGGTCTCATTTGCAGTGCCAATGTCATAAACAAGAGCATGGTGTCCCTAAAATGTTACATGAATAAAATTTCAGAATTTAACTCCTATAAAAGCAACAAAAGAAATTTAAGTAATTTTCCAAATCCAAGCAACAAAAAGTGAGACATACAGCAGCTGAATTATAATCGGTTATGATGGCCTCATAGAAATTATTGTCATCAGGCCATCTGGTCCTTACTTTCCTCCCAATTAATGGATCAAACGGTGCTCCTTGAGGGCCTGTACTAAGTATTCCTGGTCGATGCCCACCGGATGGTCTCCACTCCCAAAAAAAAAAAAAAAAAAAAAAAAAAAAAGTCATCACGAAGCCCTAGCCTAAAAAGATGCAAGCAACACAATATAGCTAAGTGCTAACCTTATTCTTCGGATGACATCATCAGAATTTACTCTGCTAAGAAGTTCCCTATGTTCTTCATTTGACAACCGCAACTCTTTTCTAAGTTCAGTTATCAAACTTTCCTTCTCCTGAAGAAAATACATTTTATTGAGCAATCATTTAAACCCCTGATCAAACAAATATACAAATATTAAATTCTCATTTTAAAAACGATTAAAGGTACCCAAGTAATCGCATCAGCCTGAGCTTTAAAGGCTCTTAGAACTGAACTGTATGCTTCTTGCTCAAGCTGGTGAATTTGAGCCTCCATATCAGTATTAGCAATCCGGCCACCTCTATGAATCCTATTTTGATGAGATGGAGGAAGATCATCATCTGTCCCTGCAACAATAAAAGTCTGAATTTATTGAGAATGAATACAAAATATCAGACACATCATGGTGTTTTATCACAGTATGTTTAAAGAATATGAAGTAATATCATCCAAATGCACATAGAAACACTGAATCCAGCTTATGTCTAAGCTAAATGTACAAAACAATAATTACCGGCATCAACAAGATGGATCTAACCTATATATAATGTAAACAAATTCCCTGAACCTAAAACCAACTAATGTAACATGAAGTAAACCACACTTAAGGTAAAAATCTATATAAAATAAACATCAAACCCCCAGAATGGACCGACAGATCATTCAACCAACAAGGAAATAAACAGTTCAATCCCAATATAAATGTAACAACACAGTTAGAATAAAGCTTTGACAAAAAGTTCAAGAATTGAACTACAATTAATAATGCAAATGGTAATTAGCAAACCCTAGTGCTCAGTAACACACCAGAAGCTCAAACCTTTGGCAGTAAAAATTAATGAACACTCACCGCTGCTATCGTACGACTCGTATTCCATATAGAGCTTGTGCTGAAGTCAAAGAAGAGAGACTTGAGGGCGGCCAAGAAATGCAGAAAAAAGAAACAAAAAAACCAACACGTTGTTGACTAGGTTTTGGATTTCAGATACCTGTGGAGAGCGATTTGGTATTAGTGTTTACAAAAAATAAAATAAAAGAAATGATTGATTTTTAATAGGGGGAATCAACGATTTGGTCCCTCAATTATTAGCGACATGTAAATGTAGTCCCTCAATCGCTTATTCATTCATTTGATCCTCGAAAATAACTGTTTTTAGTTGATTTAGTCCCTCCGGTCATAGTCCGTCAATAACCCGGCGAAAGCTCCAATTTGCCCTGGGCAATTTGGTCTTTTCACGTCATCTTCTTCATCCACTCTGTATCAGATTCCTTCGCTTCCGCTTGTTTCGTCATCGCCGCCTCAGGTGACCGCTTGGTTAGTGTGTTTTTAATTTTATATATATATATATATATATATATATATATATATATATATATATATATATATATATATATATATATATATATATATATATATATATATATATATATATAAGGAAGGGATCAAGTGAATTTGTGGCTTTCCGTGCGGATGTCCGGTGGATTAATGTGCGTGAAGTTTATACTTAATGTGCGTGAGATTTGTACTCAATGTGCCTGAGATTTGTACTTAATGTGCGTCATGTTAATATGTGTGAGTTTTGTACTTAATGTCCTGAGTATTGTGTTTAATGTGCGTGAGATTTGTGCTTAATGTGCGTGAGTATTTCAGAATTACGAGCTCAGAAGGAAGCAGAACAGAAACTCACGCACATTAACGCCCAAGCTTCTTGTTACTTCTTCCTTCAATTTGGCCATGGATTCTGGATTATCAGCTACCTTCAATGCAGTTGAATGTTTATATAAATGACGCACGCACAGTAAAATTTGCATAGCAGCTAAGTGTGGATTTATGTTGTATTATTCCCATAATTCTTAATCACCATAGCTCGCCTCCGTATCATCATCATCAGGGAGGGGGCAAATGGCTACTGGGGATGGGGAAGAAGCTGACATCAATATTTTCTGCTGCATTTTACACATTCACGCACATTTAGTACAAATCTCAGGCACATTAAGCACAACACTCACGCACATTGAGTACAAATCTCACGCACATTAATCCACCGCATATCCGCACGGGAAGCATTCAACCGCACGGGAGCCTTTCACTATATATATAGATTGGTTTCCAATGATGCCGAGTTCGAAGACTCACTGGAGAGGGGGATCGGAGGAGAAGAATAGGAAGGGAAAGTTAGTTGAAAAGGCGAAGTTGTTTCACCGCCGCAGCGTGGAGAACACGGTGGAGTTGCTGGGGAGGCCGCGGACGGTGCCGGACTTTATATCCGGCCATCGAAGTTCCACCGCTTCCACGGAAATAAGGTTTCCGTCAAAGTAGCTCACCAAGTTATTATTCGACGTGATGATACAGAGATGCCTTGGGGCCGTGCAGGTGTTGATGTCGTCGGAATCAACGGTGGAGAACCTCATCGTCGCCGCTCTCCGACAGTACGTAAAGAAATGACGATGTTCGGCGCTCCCCTCCACTAATCCCACATATTTCAGACTCCATTACTCGCAGTTTAGTTTAGAAGGTAACCCCTCTTAATCTCAACCGTCATATTCCTATTCTTACAAATATCAAATTACCATATAACTCCCGATTACCATTTACTCTACTTATTTCTCTACTATTACATGGTGTTTGGTTGGAGCGAATTTAAATTGCATTCTCACTTTATTCCCAACTAATTCCAAAGGCCACTAAATTCCTTAGTTTGGTTGGAAGGAATTGCAATTCCACGGAATTGCAATTCCCTCATTTTCATGGAATTAAAATCCCATGCCCCCCTTGGGATTTTAATTCTATGAATTTTAGGAAGAAAAAAGATAATGATGAGACAAAATTACCATCCTTTTTTAACATAAAATTGATGTCTGTCAACAACAATGAGCATTTTGGACTTTATACTACTTATTCCCTTTCAATTCTCATGTATACCAAATATTAGAATCGAAATTCCCAGTAATTTTATTCCTATAAACCAAACATTAGAATTTAAATTCCCACTTTATTCCTAGTTGTTGGTCCCAGTAGGATTATAACGAGAGTCTAGAGGGGTGGGGGGGGGGGGGGGGTGAATAGACTCTTTTCGGATTTTGCCAAATAACAACCTTTCGGTGTTACAGTGCAGCGGAAATATTAGGTTCGTTTTAATTGCTTTGCACAGTTTGATGTTTTAATGAAACTTTCGGTTTGGGCGCAAATGATGAAATGATGCAGAAAGTAAATCGCGAAAATAAAGAGACAAGCAGACGAGAGTTTTTATAGTGGTTCGGCCAACTTTGCCTACTCCACTCTTCTTCCACAACTTATGGAAGGTTTGCACTATCACTCGTTAGTACAAATACACGAAAGCTTATTTGATCACTAAGCCGGACAGCTTCCTCTAGGTTTTTCAACTCCGTGAGTTTACTCCGCCTCTATCAACGTCTTCTTCAGAGTTGAGGTTGGTAGAAAATGATTTTCTGATTTCTCCAACGTGGTGAAGTCTTGACTGAATGAAGGATGATTGCTTCGTATAAGATGCAAGACTTCTTCAAGGTGGAAGATGAGGATTAATAAGCTTCTTCAAAAATCTTCACGCCTTGACACTGGTTCGCAAAAGCTTGGTGAGAACTAAGATTGTTTAAGAGCTTTTGCTTGATAGAATTATCGAGTGAAAAGAACCAGCACCTTCTAAGTTGATGAAGGTGGGTTTATATAGGTGAGGAAAATTTCATCCATTGGAGGGAGATGAAATTTCAAACCTATTATCCAGTGAGTAAGGACCGGGGAGCTTGCTGCATTAAATGCTCCATTAATGTGGTTTGTACCATGTAGCCGTTGAGGGCATGGATGGCTTTAGGGTTTTGTCCTTTAGCTTCAGAAGAATGGTACAACTTCATTTAATGCTCCTTGGTATACGTGTCCCACATGTTGAGGTCCTTTTGTTCCTAGGATGGTTGGTCAACTCAGACAGTAGTGACATTCTTCTTGTTATTGAAGAGAATGAATGTCTTGATGAATCGTCATAATGATAACTGTCTCTACGAGGTGGTTGATAACCTTTGGTGATCTTTCGTTGTTGACGCTTCTGACTTCGTGCCTTGTGTCTCTTTTCGTCTTGATAGCCCTAACAAATAAACATAACTCGTTTTCGTGTGTTTGTCTAGCTTAACACGAATTACAACGTGAGTTATGGCAACTTTCGTCTAGAACGAAAGCAGCGATTAAGAATAACGAAGGTTAGGGGTCTACATTCTAGGTTACATTGGTATTATCAAAATCCTAATACAAGTGTTCCTAACACTAGTAATTCATCTCCCATGGAATTGCAATTCATTTCCCACTTAATTCTCTCCCTCCAACCAATTGCCCTGTAAAAGGCCTTAGTCATAAGGAATGACATCAAGATCCTCTCATCCCACATTTCTCTAGAGAACACCCAATTGTCAATCTTTATACCGTGCACCAGGGCGCGCACAGTAATGTGCGCCCCGCGCCTCCCAAAACGACGTCGTTTTGTTAAGTTGTTAAAAAAAATCCTCTGTTTCGAATGCACATAAACTCATAACAGAATACACATAAACTCATAACAGAATACACATAATCTAACATAATACATAATACACATAAACTATAACATAATACACATAAACTCTTAACTGAATACACATAAACTCTTAACTGAATTCACATAAATTCATAACACAATACACATAAACTTTTAACTGAATACACATAATGGGGTTTGGTTAACATAATACACATAAACTCTTAACTGAATACACATAAACTCATAACACAATACACATAAAATTTTAACTGAATCACTACTGGAAATTATGGAATTTCCGACCACTTGAAAGTGATCTTAAATCAAGTCGAAAGTCTTGTTCCGACCACTTTTGGTATCCGGAAAAACTTTTGTTGCTATTTTCGATCACTTTTTGCTTTCAACTTGATTTAAGATCACTTTTAGGTGGTCGGAAATTTCATAATTTCCAGTAGTGAATACACATAATGAGGTTTGGTCTGTTCAGATGGACAGAGTGATGTCACCATGACGTCAGCATGAAACGCACGCGTTTTGTGCCTGGGCGCACATTGCTATGTGCGGCGTGGTGCACGATATAATTTGCCCCCAATTGTACATGTACCGACTCTATACAAAATATAATGGATTTTGGCTTGACATGCACTATCCAAAAAGGCCCGTGATTTTTAGATTTCGATTTCCACATAAAATTTATTGTGTCCCTTTATTTTTCTTCTCCATTATTTATCATTTATTTAATTTTTCGATTATGTTGGCCCATGACTTGACTATTCGGTGGTCAATAAAACTAATATTGGCGCCGTTTGTAAAGATCGATATAAATGGTCCCGCAATTCCTACCTCAATCATTTTTTCTTCAACCTTTGCAATATCCTATCGCCCTTCAATCCGAGACGTTATCCGCACAAGATTATCACATACCCACTCCAACATGATTCGGTGAGTGCTAAGTTTCACACAAAATTTCCAGGCGGGAGGTTTTTGAACATTTTGTACGTGAAAAATAGTAGAGGGAAAATTTTGGCAAGCATATTTGAGTGTATTTTGACGAAAACAAGCTGACCCAAATCAAAATACGCGGTAATGACGGAAATAAAGAAAACATGGCTGAAGTGGAGCCCGACCAGAGTGAGGGACTCGATCGAGTAGGCCAGACAGTCGGCCATAGGAATATGGTCAGCTAAAACCCCCAAGACAAGGGAAACCACCCTGAAATATGGGCGAAAACCGCCCTGAGAATGGGCGGATAGGCAGGGACGCTGAATAAGCAGTTCTCTCACCCTAGCGGCATACTTAAGGCAACAGACAATTAGTAAATATGGAAGAAGTGATTTCTCATGTGTGTTAAGGGAAGAGTCGTTTCCACGTACGCTACAAACGCAAATTCTCGCGAAGAGATTTTGCAAAAATGTACTCCGTATTAAAAATATAATATAA